AGATAGATTTTTTTTGGCATCACAGTGGGACTTGACATATTAAAAATAAGCCTTACACGACAATGATTTGAAAAGTTTTAATTGGAAATGAAAAGGCTTAGGAAAGTACAAGCTACAAACTTCAATGCTGTTATAAATTGATAAAAAGATTGCCACTTAAAAGATCAGGATGGGAAATTACTTGACAGTCATGTTTGTGGATCCTTTCAAAAAACTGATTCACAAAAACAATGCTGACATTACTTGATGTGTACAGATGCATGCAAAATATCAAAAAACTAGAAAAGTAATCCTGAAGACTTCATCCTTGCTCCAGCTTCGTGCCTTTAATTTAAACACAAGACCTTCAAAGTTACATACTGAAATAACTGCATTAACTTCTTATTTAGCAATAACCCATGATCTTTTATTCATGTTTTCTGATGCAGTGACATAAAACATCTTCACTATGCAGCCTAATGTTTCAGTAGTGTTACACTGTTACTGCAGATTTGTTATCTTGTAACTTAATAGTAACTTTATTTATTAGGAATGAATGAAAAAATATATATATTTTTCCCTAAAGCTGTACAAAACATTACATTAAAATTGTAACTGCAATTTAAATATATGTATAATATTCATAAAAAGCAGCTTATATGGAACAGCTCATTAACTTTTATATTTTCAACGGCAGTGGGATAAACCCATGTCTCAGACCCAGCCATGATAGTAAAGATTGACTGAACTGCATGATCAGAGAACAGAAGAGATGGGTATAAAAAGCTCCCAAGAAGGAGGATTTTCACATAACAGGAATCTCTGTATCAGAGGTACTCCAGACCACTAGAAGGCGACAATCACTCAAATAAAACTAGACCCCTAGTGAAGAAGAAAATGGAACACGCAGTGTTTTAAAAAAGATTTAAACTAAAATTTAAATTTTCTTTCTTCTCCCCAGATTTCCTCTGTGAAGGCATCACTCTTTTGTTTTTGCTGTTTGGTCCATAGAAATGAGTTTGTAATAATGTATATAGCTCGGTCACATGTGAGATGATGATGGTTTCCCCCTAATGGTCTGGAGCACAGCTGTTTTTAACTTGCAGTTATTATCGCTACTTGCAACATTTTCCCTTTGTATGTAATTTGTGTGTTAACATCAATTATGAAGTTGTAGCATGTTTTTTAATTTGCCGGCCTGTTTATGAATCTGCAGTGCATCTGCACTTTGTTGCTCTCTATTTTTCACTTCTGAGAAAAGCTGAGATGCAATGTCAAATTATAAGAAAACATGTTTTGTATTTTCTGATAGATATTTCAAAGGTTTGTTTTAAATTTTTATTAACCCCCTTTTTAAACATCTAATACAGTCTAATCAGATTCTAACAGTTATTATAATTAGCTACTATCTTCTTTGGCACAATTTAATTTAGGCCTCAGAGGTTTAATTTTTTGTTAAACAGAAGATTTGTTAAACACAGATTTGTTAAACAAAAGCATGAAAACAAATAAATCCAACAGAAAGGTCAAGCGGAAAGTTATAAAGGTTAAAACATCTATTTATATTTTCATTTTGGTTCTTTTTTTCAAGAAAATTGCAAATCTGTTAAAGCACTGATATTTTACACAAACCTTATGCATAACAGAACCTTTTTATAATTTATATTTTTTAATGTATTGTGACTCATACAGTAGCTGCTTGTCACGAACAATGTCCTGTAAGCAAAAAGCTTTTCTAAATGTCTAGCTTTATACACTTTGGCTGTAACTCTGATTATTATCAGTACCTAGACATTGAAACAAACTCTGCAGCTTTTGCTGTAGAATAGAGAATGACGAAATGAAAAAGAATAATGAAAAGGGTTTAAATCCCTCACACCTTTCCAGAGACATCAAAGCAAGAATCAGAATGTTTGCTGGAGTAAACAATTACTGGTCATACAGGGAGACTTTTATTACCCACACATGGTTTTTACCAATGTTTTCACTCTCTCATATGTCTGCTCCATTTATCAGAAAAATAAAAAACACATCCTGCTTCCCCCTTTAGCTCGTCGTTCCCAAGGTTTTCTTTAATGGCACATTTTGTGCATTATGGCTCAAGGCTGAAAAAAGTACACTTTTTTCGGCCAATTGGCTTTGCTGTTGTACTTCTGGTAAAGTAAGACACTGTCATTACTGGCATATGTGCATAATGTAAAAACAAGCGTATTCAAAATGTTCAAGCCAAAGTGATTTCCATAGATTTCATTTGTCACTGTCAAGCTCTCACTTCTGCCTTGTGTGCAGTGAGATTCAGCTGTCAGGCCTCAGAGTTTATTTCTAACTGCATCATAGGTTTTTGCTTCTGGCTGTGTGTGGCTGAGAGCCCCTGTGTTAATGGACGGATTTTATTCCCCTATATATTCAGGTAACCATAGGCAGGGATTCTAAGAAATCACTGATGTCCAGTGATTAGATTTGTATTAGACACAAATGTCAGTCATATGAGGCCTGGTTTCTTAAGTA